AATTTCAAACCCATTGACTTCATATCACTAATCAATTAGGCTTACAGCTACAATTAAATAATTATAGCCATAACAAGTTTAACAGTAGTTGATGGTGATCTCAATCATCTTGTAACAAACCCCACTTCAGTAAACAATGTCGCTATAATATAAGTAGAATGGGCTACATTTTTCAGGCTTATTTTTTTGAGAACTTAGATATCAGAAAAGGTCACAAGGGACCTGAGGCGATGTGTGTGTACCTGCAGGACAGTGGTTAGTGCGGTGCTCCGTCAGGTCAGCCAGGCACTCAAAGTCCTGTTGGCAGTTATCACAGGTGAAGATGGACTCGTCGTCCAGATCCTCCTCTCCTGCTCGCTCGTCGTGGCTGGTCACGCTGTGCTCGCCGTCTTCACCACCGGCCCGCTCTTTCCCATCAGAGTCTCGCTCAGGCACGGCTGCATCTGCACCTATATACACAAATACACAGCAAAAAGACAGAACTGCATTAGCACCACTGACTTTTGGGGTCTGCAACAGAATGCAGTGTTCAAGTTCATTTTCCACCAACTTCAGAGACAACTGGAACAGTGACAACACTAGGAATGAATCCATCATGGAAAAAAAACTACTCGGTTATTTGGAATAAAAAGGCTTGCTGACTAAACGTTTTTCAGTTTTCAGTGATAAGATCCACACTGTGATGAAATTAATTTTACTTTCAACCCATTCCTGAAACAAATCTAACACATCCCACATGATCACAAAAATGAACGAATAAATGAATTTGTCACTTGAAACACTTTTTTTATGCTGTATTTTTCATTCTGCATTAATGTTTATGGTGTGCCACAGTATGTATAACCAATCAGCTAACTCTGCTCCCAAAATACCACTAATTCTTGTTGGTAAAAATCTCCAAGTGTGTGAGAAGGTATATCCCACTGAAACCTTGCCAAAAAGAATTAAAGCAAAAATAGACTTGAAATAGGCTTGAATTTAAAGGAAAAAAAGAAAAAAAAACAAGCACACACTTGCACACAGCGCCAATATCCACCATGCCAAAACTGTTTTACGTTATAGATGACAAATGAATAAAAGTATTTCTGTCTGTTCTTGCTACATTATAGGTTTTAAGAAATTAAATGTTTGCGAAGGTTGAAAAATGAAAAATCACAGCACCTAGACTGGTTTGTTTTTTATGCTTTATTTTTTCATCCTGCGTTAGTGTTTGTAGTGCCACAGTACACATCTAGCGCTGCATCAGAATACTATTAGTTCAGGTTAGTACCAATCTTGAGCAGGTACCAAAAACCAACCAATGAACCCTTTGGTTGGTACAGTACACAATATAGAATAATATGACAGCAGCGACTGATCACATAACACTAACGTATGGCACATCATGGTAAGGCTGGGTGATATGATGATATCAATATTACGACAATATGGTTGTGACGATATTGTTGTGATGATAATATTGTCACGATATGTCACGATACACTTTTCTGAGATATCATGGGTATTGTGAAAACCTTTTATAATTGTTTTAATAGGAATTACAAACTCTTGAGGCAGATCTGATTTGACGTTTTACAAATTTTAGCTTTACAGGATACATGTTTCTCCTCTTTTTTATTTTTGTACACATTAAATAAAAGTATCATAAAACAAATTTGTAATGGTTTATTTTTAAACATAACACCTCTGTCCTACTGGCAGATTGTTAGGAAACCTACATATCGTGATACATACTACACACTGCAGAAATGTCTTGAAACATCATGACATGATATTTTTGTCATATCGCCCACCCCTACATCATGGCATAACGTCACACGTGGCATTGTGGCAATAGTGAAGACTGCAGAGCTCCTAGTTTCGATTCAGGCCTGTGTGCCACACACTTACTCACGGCACTGATATCCACCAGCCCAATCCTCCTTCCGCCATTGTGGCTCTATTTTCACACCTTATTATCACATTAAACGCTGCACTCTGAAAGGACTGCACAGGAGACCATGAAGAGACAGGAGCAAAACAAAAAGAAAAAGAATAGAGAGATGTAAAGAAGAGGAGAAAGGGGGAAACAAAAAAAGAGACTGATCAAATGAGTGAAAGAACGTGGACCAAAATAAGCAAAGGGGAAAGAGAGAGAGAGAGAGAGCACTAAAGAATAACATGAGAAATAAAGTGAGGGAACATGAGGGTAGAGGGAAAAGAAGAGCAGAGGGAGGGAGGAATGGAGAAAGGGAGGAGGGCAGCTCTCCGGCTCCCCTGGGCTTAACATCCTGTCTAATCATCCTGGACTTGTGCAATCAGAGGAAAAGCAGGAGGTGGCCATTCCTGCTCTTTGCCACACTGTGATCAGCAGCTCTAATTTGCCCGGGCACGGCTCTACACTACGGCGCTAATCGCTAATGGAGCCTGGAGTTCGGGACCAGACCCAGTGGCTCACTTTGGTCTCCAGCCCAGTTTGGACTGCTTTTGCTAGGGGAGGGGGAGTGAGAGGTGGAGTGGGGGTCTGGAGAGGTGTTATGAGTGAGGGGAGTTTTGAGGTGCTCTAGTTTCTCTCCCTCCATCCATCCGGTGGGGGTGAAGGTACGTTTGGTGTGTGTGTGTGTGTGTGTGTGTGTGTTCGGGGTGGGGGTATGTGGAATGGCCATCTGTCCAGTCGTGAGAATGCCGTCTGGACAGGGAGGAGAGAGGCCCCTAACTGACACTACACTGATAGTGGTCCTGAGCTGCTGTTTTACACTCCACACACACACACACACACACACATACACAAAGGTGCATTAACTGTACTATTTCATCCAAGAGAGGTTCTAATCTCGGTGAAAATAGATTGTAATTCATTTTCACTCCATCCCTCTTCTTGTTCAATCACACACACACACACACACACGCACACATACACACACCATCGTTCCCCCAGGTACCCTGATGCCAGAGGTATGGGCACTGCCAACCGAGGCACATGCCAGCACAACCTGCTACCATGGCAACAAGGGAGGAGCCAGATGGGACCTTGCTCTGGCCCTCTTTACCTCTCCTCCTCTCCTCCCTCCATCTTTTTCGTTCGAAATGAGCCTGGCTCGTACGACTTCCACACCGCAGGACAGCAGGCAGGATATAAAAGCTCCTGGCACATCGCTCTGAACCATACACACCTCCAGTAAATGCTACACTTGCTTACTTGCTCTCTGTTCTCTCTTCTTCTATTCTCCGGTTTACCTCCATCTTCCTGCCTGCCGTCATCCCCCCGTCCTCTCCAGTAAGCATTCCTCCTCTCCGGAGGGGGAGGTGGTCTCATGAGGGGGTCTCCACAACACACTCCATTTAGACTGCCATTACAGCTTTCTCTCTCCCTCTCTCCCTCTCTTTTTCTATCTGTCTCTATCTCTATCTCTCCCTGTGTGCACTGGATTGATATACATGTGTCGTGCACCCCAGCTGCACACTCGCTAGCTCCAGCCGCGGCCTTGATATGAACACACACACACACACACACACACACCATCTTGCCCCTCAGTCTGTGGGAGGGAGAGGAAACTGCTGAAATGATATCTGTGTGGATCTGTGTGAAAGACTTTATAGAGATCAGGTGAAGGTAAAATGTATTGTGTAAGTTTAAACAAGGAAATGAATGTGTATCTACGTATTATATAACATGTGCTTGTAGTAAACATGGTTCTCCAGGATTTTTCAGAGTTTCAAGTTTTCAGATATAACTCAGAGGTGACACAGAAGAGCCAGATGAAATCAGGTCTCAGCAAGGACAGAGTCATATGAGGAGACAAATGATTTCTAGAGAGCCATTCAGATAAACAAGACCTCTTTATGTCTGCTGATAAATTCTTAGAGCCCACATTTCTCCCCTTCTCTTGAATTTATCATCATGTTATCTGCCTACATGCATGCACGCATAGTTTACCTCTAACACACAATTCATTGTCCAGCATTATAATCTGCTTTGACCATAGAAATGTGTACTTGCTATTTTACTAAAAAGGAAGACGTAAACTAAAGCTCACACATAGGTACCATCTTAAGTGCTGCTTCTAAGGAAGGGCTCTATTCAGAGTTGGTGGCTCAAGTTTAAAAGCTAGAAGTCAATATTTATGTGGGTAAAGTTCTTCATATTCAGGTTTACACAACTGCTTATGTTGATTTTCTGGGTGGCCTATTCAGAGTATTGAAGTTGCCTGCGTGTAGTTCACGCCTCTGACCGAGGTTGCCATTTTTCTTCCGTAGAATTGTATGAGATGGCGTTTTTCAGTAGCGTCTAGACCATTGCCTTTAAACACAAGCACTTGGCTTTAAACCGCCAGAAAATATGGGATAGAAAATGTGGACTGAAACATGACAGATGACATTTTTTTCCTTGCTGTCAAATATTTTTTCTTTGGTGTTTGATGTAACATAAAAGCAGGAGACAATTTAAAAATACACAAATTAAAAGAAAGACTAAGACAATAATAATGTAGAAAGGAGAAGATGGCAAGCATTCAAATAAACATCCAAAAGGAGTCTAGTGTATTGTTAATATAGTGTTACACGAATAGTCCTAGGTGTAATCATCAGTGCAAATTTGGTTAAATTCAGCAATATAGCTTTAAGCATCATTATTCAGTAGTTTATTCAGTAAAATAGCACTTCCAGTACTTTTTTTTTTTTTTTTGCTAGAGGTACAGCAGCAGAAAGTGTGAAGCTTAGGTTGGTGAGAAATGCTGTATCTGCTGTTCGGAGTTGCAGCTAGTGACTAGACAGGCCACAAAAATTATTATTATAATAAAACAGCATTCCAATTGGTTCCACCATTTTGGAATTGTGGAGATAACAATCATATGTCAGCAGTTTCTTTTATTCACAGTACAACGAGACAACAATGTTTTCAGATCTCTTCTCTTTAAGAGAGGTGATTCGAAAAAATGTTTTCTATGGTCGGAAATGCTGTTTTATTGTGGCTGGACATACCTTTTTATATTTTAAAAAGTTAGTGTGGACTAAGCATTGGGCCCCTGGAGGACTAGTGGTTAGGCCATGGCACTCTCACTACAGCGGCTTGGGTTCGATTCTCGGCCAGGGAACCAAACACAGCCACAGAGGTTGCACACGGCAGTGCGCTTCCAGTGCTGGTCCCAAGCCTGGATAAAACTGGGGAGGGTTGCATCAGGAAGGGCATCCGGCATAATAACTATGCCAAATCAAATATGCAGACCAATCATCCGCTGTGGCGACCCTTAACAGGAGCAGCCAAAAGAAGAAGAACAACAGTGTGGACTAAGCCTTAAGTTCAACGTCAGAATCGTCTTTAACTGAGACATGGCAAATTCCACCCTACATACGCAACTCCTGCGCAACTGCCTGAGTAAGCCTTAATTGTTTAGTTGTTGATTTTTACTTTTATGTTTTAACACCCTTCTCCTGCTATATTGTCTATTGTCTGTGTCTTATATTATCTATTGTCTCTCGTCTGCTGCTGTAACACTGGAATTTCCCATCTGGGATTAATAAAGTCTTGTCTTATCTTATCTTATCTTGTGTTATTTTGCTTAATGCTCATTTAACAATGTTGTAGTGAAGGAGATGTACGGATGGTGGGCTCTCTCTGATTGTTCCTTTCTGTCACTGAGTCACATGGCAGCAGAGGAAAGACCCACACAGTCTCACACACTACGCATACCTGGATTTGGAATAAACACAGAGTCAGGGTGTATGTGAGGAGGAGGAGGAGCATGCTCAGCTTAGCAGATATGTTTCAGTGTGCCATGCTGCCAAGCCCTTGATTGACACTATCATTTATCAAAGCTGCTGTTGAAAGTCGCCCACATCAGCATGTAAGCTAAATGACCTTGACATGACACACCGAGGCGCAGAGAGAACAGAAAGAACAATGACACAATGCACCCACACATTCACTCTCATACCTCCACATTTCTGTGTCTGTGTGTGTTTTAATCAGTAATTTACAGTGGGGTGTGTGCTGCTGGCCGTCCCGAGTGAGAGAGGTGTGTTAATGAGAGTGTGGGGGTCCCATAGGAGCCCCTCTACCCTACCACAGATCACCTCATGGTTCCCTCAGCCAGCTGGAGCCCCTGGCCCTATCTCAGCAGTGGGCCATTATCTCTGAGTCACAGCCCGTCCCAGCGCCAGGAGCCTTCACACACACACACACACACACACACACACACACACACACACTCTCTCTCTCTCTCTTGTCAACACACAAACATGCATGTTTACCTGCACTGGTTTAAAGAAAATACTAAATGTTGTAAATATTAAATATCTCTTATATTAATATTACAATTATATGTAATTAATTTGAAAGGGGATGTGTAAACATTTAACTAGGGGTGTAAAGTAACAAACTACATATTCTCTAGTTACAGTTACTGAGTACATGGTTCACTGTAATTTTTTTTTGAGTATAATTAAACTGTAGTATTTTTACTTTTACTTGAGTTTTTTTAAAATTAAATTTTCAACTTCGCTACATTTTAAGCTTCGTATCGGCGGAACGCCAGACCCTCACTGCTCGCCAAGGTTCATGAAGATACCCTGTTACCAGCTGGCACTGCGCAGTGGTGGTGATAAGATTTTGCTGGAAATGTGACCAGGCCCAACAACATACCGGCCGATATCTGGAAGACTCTCGGAGAATGCAGAGCAGCATTCCTAACTGCACTCTTCAACTGCGTCATAGCCGAGAACAAACCTCCCCGCGCTTGGACAACCAGCACGAACAAGCCCATCTGGATAAGCAAGGGGGATGTCAGTGAGTGCACCAACTACTGGCCAATCCGGCTATTATGTCATGCGATGAAGATATTCGAGTGTGTGCTGGACCGGCGCCTCCGAAGCATCGTCACCCTAACGCCTAACCAACACAGCTTCGTCAAGGGACTTGGAACCACCGACGCCAGCCACGCTGCCCAGCTGCTGATGGAGAAGCATCGGGAGTAGAATAAGACGTTGCACGTGGCGTTTCTGGATTTAGAAAAGGCATTTGACTGGGTACCCTATGAACTCATCTGGTGAGCGCTACAATCCTACAGCATCCTAGAGGTGTACCTGAGTTGGGTCCAACTTCTTTACTGCAACGTCACAAGAGTGGTTCGAGGCCCAGCCAAAATTTCGCCACCTTTTGGCATCACCGTCAGCGTCCACCAAGGCTCCGGCTCCCCCCCCAACTGTTCATCCTTTGCATGGACACAGCAACAGCCACCTGCAAACGCCTCACCTCTGGACGCTTCTCTATGCAGACGACATCGCGCTTGTGAATGCAGATCGCATGGCCCTTCAACAACAAATGCAGGAGTGGAAGAATCGACTAGGTGAGAATGGAATGAGACTCTACAGTCAAGAAGACGGAAAATCTAGAATGCGGCCATCAAAAATGGCACTATACACATCGAAGACCAGGAGCTGAACAAGACCACCCAGTTCAAATACCTCGGTTCTCTCGTCACCTCAGAGGGTGCCGCCCTGCTGGATGCCTGAGCTCATGTCAGTGTAGCATGGATGAAGTGGCGTCAGGTCACTGGAGTCCTTTGCGATAAAGAAGATGCCAAGATGCGTGAAGCGCGACTGCGGTGGTTCAGTCACGTTACATGTAGCGACAAACACTTCATTGCCAAAAGCAGTCTCCGATTCTTCCCTGGAGGACACCGATCACGCGGGAGACCCAAAAGCACTGGATGGACTGCATCAAAGAAGATATGAAAGAGCTGACCGTTGACCCTGATGATGCCCTGGACCAAAACAAGTGGAGAGCAGCATTCAAGCATGTGGACCCTGCCCCAGGGTGGGAGAGCTGCTAGGAAACAAGAATTCAACTTTGCTACATTTATTTTTTATTTTTTAATCACAGTTACAGAGTAAAAAAAACAATGCATTTAACACTGTAAGACAATTAAAAGACAGTATGTGCAAATTCTAAATAAGGCCATTACGGGGCGCAATCAAAATAAAGTTTTCTGCCGAAAGTCTACACTTCAGGAGCCAAATACTTAGTCAGCAGCAGCAATGTCTGAGACAGTGGAGACAGATGAGCATCCCCGGCCCCATTGATCAGGTATCTTCAGTTTTAAATTCTTCTAAGGAAAGAGCATGATAATGAACTGCAAATGCTGACACGCCAAAACCTGTGAAGATATCGACAATTCACAGCTTAATATCTAACCTGCAAACACATGTACAGGCAGCCATTAACTAGCTGAGTGAGCTAGACTAGCTAGTTTATGGTATGTACTAAATGTAAGATATCACTCTACAGAGTTCGTCTGTTGTTTTAAATATATCTCAGTGTCTCCTACAGCCTAGGTAACACTTAGGATAATGTTTAAGGAGCATCTTTGCTAGATAGCTAACTATGTAGCTAGAACCGTGTATGAATTAACATGAGCTAGCTAGTTAATAAACCCAACAGCATTTGGCTAAATTAGCTAGCCACCTAATTTTACCTTTCTTTATACACTGTTGATAATCAAGGTGCTGTTCAATTCAGCATAGCTCGTGGAACAGAATAGAAAAAGAACATTTTCAGATTAGTTGTGTCAATTGTAGACATGTAAAAAACTCATTTGTAAAGTAATTACTCAAGTAGTTCACCAGATGACTTATTTACTCTTACTTTTTCTTCATCAATACTTTTAAGTGAATTATGACTACAGTAGCAGTACTTTTATTCGTCAACGTGTTTTGTAGTCTTTCCAATGCATTTAATCTATATCTTTTTAAAACACAAATTTAAGACTATGTTTAATTTAAGATTGTTTATGTAATTATTAGGGATGCAGTGATCTTTTGTTTTACATACAATACATTACTTATCGAACATGTAGCCAGCTCTCTGTAAGCTTCTGCTTTAAAACAATTTATATCACATGTTCATGTGAAAAAATTGTGTCTTGTCAATAAAATTTGCCAAAGGATTGGATTGGAAAATGCCAAATTTGATCCAATACTGAGCCACTATTTCAATATCAGATCAGAACACTCCTCATAACTGTCTGTTATAAACAGGAAACACATTTAATCTGCAGTTTTATCTGGTGTACTCTATATAATCTAAACTAAATTAATGCCAGGACTTCCACGCGGCTAAACCTCATTTAGCAATTTACCTCAAACGACTGCATTACACTTGAATAAAGCGTATAATTGAATCATCTACAGCTGCTCCATGGACATCTCAGCCCCAGGACACGTAAAGACACACTCAAACACTCTCAAACTAGACAAATACAGCTATAGCCATTCTGAACAGAGGGCACATTCATTATGTGTAATATATTAACACAGTGTACAAGATTTACGCAAAGCTAAAGACCCAAAGCCAATGCTAATATGAGGCATCTGTTCCAAAACAGATGGACTAGAGTGTATTGTATTAAACTAATATTGGGTCTTGTTTTTGGAAATTCTGGCTTTCTTTCTCTTTAAATTAGGTGCTTCAATAATGTATACCAGATTACTGGTACATACACACAAAATAGCATGTCAGCTTATTATTATTATTAATGGTACAATTAAGGAGGTCCATTATATTACCATTATATGACTTTGAATGTTTTTTATTTTAGAGTCTTACTATTATCAGAAAAAAATATTAATGAAGCTTTTATATATCTGGCTTACATAAAGTCATGTTAGTACGTAGAGGGAACTGTTTAGATATCAATGTTACCCCAACCCACCCACACCCACACACACACACACACACACACACCACCTCTCTTTCGCTCTCGCTCTCTCTTAGGGAAGACAAACAGCCATGTTTGTGTGGGGTAATTAGATGAGGAGAAGTGAATTAGTAGAATCCACAGAGCAGTCGTGTAGCTGAGCACAGCCCCGCCTTGCAGGGACCTGCTAATTACCCCTCGTTAGGTTGATATGTCCCCCCCCCCCCCCTTTTTTTTTAACGGTGCAGCGCTGCCACCGTAGTGAGAGAGAAAAATAATTAGCGTCGGATCGACGCTGGGCTTTACGGACTCTGAGAGGCATCCTCCACACTGAGGGGAGGAACGACGAAAAGAAATCCCCAAAAATGATAATGTGAGGAGCATGACTGAACATCGGTGGT